TATGCCTAAGAGAGGGATTGCCGGGTCCTGCAGTAAACTAATTCCCATTTTCCTGAGTAACCGCCATACTGATCTCCAAAATGGCTGTATGAGTTTGCACTCCCACCAGCAGTGGAGGAGTATTCCCATTCTCCACATCCTCTCCAGCCATTGGTGTTTCTAATTTTAGCTGTTCTGGCAGGTGTTAAGATGGTATGTCAAAATTGTTTTGATTTGCATTTCTCTGATAGCTAATGATGTTGAGCATTTTCTAAAGTTTCTTTTAGCTTTTTTTGCTTTCCTCAATTGAGAATTCTTCAGTTCTGTACCCCATTTTTTAAAATAGGGTTATTTGTGTTTTGTTGACTAGTTTCTTGAGTTCTTTGTATATTTTAGAGATCAGCCCTGTGTTGGATATAGGATTAGTGAAAATCTTTTCTCAGTCTATAGGCTGCCATTTGGTCTTGTCCAGTGTCCTTTGCCTTACAGAAGCTTCTAAGTTTGAAGAGGTTCCATTTATTAATTGTTGCTCTCAGTGTCTGTGTCCCTAGAGTTATGTTCAGGAAGCAGTCTCCTATACCAATTTGTTCAAGGGTACCTCCTACTTTATCTTCTAAGAGGTTCAGTGTGGCTGGATTGATGTTGATGTCTTTGATCCATTTGGACTTGAATTTTGAGCATGGCAACAGACATGGGTCTATATGCAGTCTTCTACACACCATCATCCATTTGTTGAAATGCTGTCCTCGCCCCATTGTATTCTTTTAGCTGTTTTGTCGAAAATCAGATGTTCATAGGTGTGTGGGTTAATATCAGGATTTTCACTTCGATTCCATTGGTCTACCTGTCTATTTTTGTGCCAATACCAGGCTGTTTTCAGAACTATAGCTCTGTAGTAGAGCTTAAGGTCAGGGATGGTGATGCCTCCTGAAGTTCTTTTATTGTATAGGGTTGTTTTGGCTATCCTGGGTCTTTTCTTTTCCATATAAAGTTGATTATAATCCCTTCAAAGACAGTAAAGAATTGTGCTTGGATTTTAATGGGGATTGCATTGAATCTGTAGATTGCTTTTGGCAAGATTGCCATTTTTGCTATGTTTATCCTACCTATCCAAGAGCATGGGAGATCTTTCCATTTTCTGGTATCTTCTTTAATTTCTTTCTTTAGATCCACAAAGTTTTTATTATAGGTCTTTCACTTGTTTGGTAAGCATTACCCCAAGACACTTCATGTTGTTTGTGGCTATTGTAAAGGGTGATGTTTCTCTGATTACTTTCTCTGTCTCTTTGTCGTCTGAGAAAAGTAGGGCTACTGATTTTTTTGAGTTTATGTTGTATCCTGCTAGTTTGCTTGAGGTGTTTATCAGCTGTAGGAGTTCCCTGGTAGAGTTTATTGGGTCGCATATGTAAACTATCATATCATCTGCAAATAGAGACAGTTTGACTTCTTCCTTTCCAATTTGGATCCCCTTGATCTCCTTTTGTTGTCTTATAGCATTAGCTAGAACTTCTAGTATGATATTGAAGATATATGGAGAGAGAGGACAGATTTCACTGTGTAGAAACCAGTGGGTTAGTCACAGTGGTCCCTGATGAAGCTTGTTCTTGAACTTAGGTTCTGGTACAAGTTTTGTCCTGGGAGAGGAATTATTGTGAGTATTTACAAGAGGATTGACTGAGTACCAGTTTTAAAAGTTGTCAAACTTACTATTGACAACACTGTCTATGGGTTTCCACTGATATCATAATCACCATGAGCAAAGGCACCTTGAGGAGGAAAGGGGTTTGCCTCACAGCTCTTAAGTCACATTCCATCACTGAATAAAGTCAGGGCAGAGACCCAAGCAGTGCAGGGACCTGGAGGAAGGAACTGAAGCAGAGGATTTAAAAGTGTGCTGCTTACAGGTTTGTTCTTCATGGCTTTCTGAGACTGCTTTCTCATACACCCTAGGATCATCTGCAGGCAAGTGGACAGACTAGAAAAAGACATCCCAAGTGAGGTAAACCAAAACCAAAAAGACAAACATAGTATGTACTCACTCAGAAGTGGATACCAGACATAAAGCAAAAGATATCCAGCCTACAATCCATAACTCAAGATGCTGCTAAGTAAGACAAAGGATTGCTGCCTGCAAACTTACATTGAACATGGAGAAGTCAAGCTGGTGCCTACATGCAGACTTTACCCCGTATTCTAGTGTCTTTGGTGTGGGAAGACATTCTGTAGGCTACCAAAAGAGAAACATATACACAAACCCTGCTACAAACCTTTGGCCTACAATCTGTCCTGCCCACAAAACATGCTAAAGCAATGGCGGTACAGACCTTATGGGACTGGCAAACCAGTGCTTGATTTGACTTTAGGCCTACTCCATAAGAATGAACAGATATCTGACACTGCTTGGGTAACCAAGCACCAGAGACTAAATAGCTTAGAGAGCCAGGATAAAATCAAACACTACTGTTATGAAGAAAAAACAAAAACTTCAATAAAATGACTCCTAATGATACTTTCCTAAACTCATAGATCAAAACCTTATTCAGTCATCATCGGAGAAGATTCCACTAGCAGCAGATGCAAACAGATATAGGCATTATGTGGAGAAAGTCTAAAAAGGATGTTTCCATCAAATCCTCTCCCTTGGAGGTCAGTGAATCCTATAGAAGGGGAAGAACAGAGAGTGTGGGAGCCAGAGAGGATGGAGAAGCAAAGAACAACATCTGAATCATCTGAGCAAGGCACAGATGAGCTCACAGAGACTGAAGCAGCTAGCAGTATCTACACGGGTCTGTGCCAGGTCCTCTGTACATATATTATAGCTATTAGTGTTAACCTCAAGGGCAAGAATAAGACCATCACCACTTGATTTTTGAGTAGGGTGCACCCAAGAGCTGGCCAGCAACTGCCTCCTAAGTTGGATTAAACAGCAGCCTTGAATCCATTTCTTGGGCCCCCTTTAAGGAGTAAAGTCATGGGTAGTTTTTCAGAAGGAAGATAATATGGCAATAAGGAAATAAAAAAAAAAACTTAAAAAAAATCATGTGGTCATGCACCATGGGATTGGGAGGAATCAGGGAGGGTTGGAGTATTTTCCAAAACTTTGGGGAAGGCCAGGTTCCAGAAAACAGGGCTACTAAACTCTCACAGAAAAATAGAAACTTATATTCTTAAAATCAGCATAATGGTTCCTGCCTTTAAAATGGGCTCTGGCAGATTCCTCAGTTAACTAAATATTTTTATGGTACTCCTGAATGTGAGAAGGAGTGGGTCTCTGACTCTTGTGCCTGAACCTGCGGCTCTTTTCCTCCTGCAGATTGCCATGTTCAACTTTCATCTGAAAGTTTTTATCTCATTCTATTTTGTCTTGTTTGATTGATATCTCTTAGAAGCCTGTTCTTTTCTAATGGGAGACAGAAAAGGAGTGGATCCAGCAGAGAGGGGAACTGGAGGGAGTACAGGGAGAAGAAACCAAAATTAGGGTATATTATAAGAGGAAAGAATCTATTTTCAATAAAAGGAAAAAAATAAGACTGGTTGGAAGAACACAAGCTATGCTTTACTAAGTCATTCTTCCTATTCATCTGTCTTCCTCTTTCTTAAGATCTTAGAAAATTAGAAACTTCCACCATCTTTTTGTTTGTTTGTTTGTTTTTTTGTTTTTTTTTAATTGTAAGCAGAACATATGCCTGTATGTTTTGTGCCTATGTATGTCGAGTTTGCTTCACAGTTTGGTGATCTCATATATTTGGCACGGGGTGGAAAGTTGCATGCTGGACGCCCAATGTGCTTGGAAGTTCCTGTGTAAGAGCTGGGAGAAAACAAGCTGGACATCATTACGTGTAAAGTGAAGCAAATCAGATGCAGAGAGACAAACACAGCTTGTGTTCTCCAGTACTGACCTAGATTCAACTGTGTGAGTAGATGGGGGTGGGGCTTGAGATTCAAAACAGGATCATGAGAGGGAAAGAGCAGATTTTCAGGGGGTTAGTGAAGAGGGTAATGGAAAACATGTAGGCAAAATGCAGAAGGGGGAAGCACCATACCTAGGACAGTAGTGTGGGGAAGGTGTGGTGGTGTGGGAGGAAGGGATGCGCGCGCGCGCGTGTGTGTGTGTGTGTGTGTGTGTGTGTGTGTGTGTGAGAGAGAGAGAGAGAGAGAGAGAGACTAAACTATACACATGAAAGTGATAAAGGAAATCCATTAATTTACATGTTAACTAAAAGTAAATAGGAAGGGAGAAAGAAACAAACTGATGAAACAGTGGAAAGATTGCCTAACATGCTCAAGGGCCAACTTCAATCCCTAACACTACAGGAAAACAAAACAAGCAAACAATAAGCAATCACGCCCCGGATGTTCCTTCAATGCTAACAAAGAATCTGTGGATTCTTTTATTCACCGTTCATTGCACTGTCAACGTGAGGTGAGTACTATATATAGTCTTTCTAAATTCCCAGGAAGGTTGCAGTCCCTGGTGAAAGTTTGTTTATAAGACAGGAGTTCAGGAGTTCAGATGCCCTTCATTTTTTCTGGGATACATGCAAATCACAAACCGAAAAGCTACAGGAAGGACTTTTAGAATGAGCTAGGCTCTTAGCCAGACCAAACATACTCAAATGACTTCTGGAATCCATTCTAGTTTCCCTGCAGGCAGCAAAGCCTAAGGACCTGAGCAGGAACTTGGGGAAAGGGTGTGGCCAACAAAGAGCGTCCAGGTAGGGTCACGGAGGTTGGGTGCTTGAGAAAACTGGGAAAAGTGAAGCGGCTGTATGCACAAACATCTGCTCCGGCTTAGGGAAATGAGAATCAAGTTTCCGAAGAGGTTGCAGCCAGGACAGAGGGAAGGAAGTGAACACATCTGGGCGGAGGAGTTGGCAATGGGTGAGATGGGGAGGAGTCCTGTGGGAAAGATGGGAGGAGTCCTGTGGGGACTGGGAGGGCAAGCAATAGCCAAGGGGCTAGCCCATTCTGAGAACCACAGGCGGTGACCCTGGAGATTTGTCCCAAGTCGGATTCTCATTCCCCAGGAGAGCTTGTTCTGGTACCAGCCATGCTTGCCTCCACGGGCTCCCTGGTGGCCTCTATCTGGGCAGCTCTCCATCTCCAGACTCTGCTGCTAGCAGCTGTTGTCTTCCTGTTCCTGGCTGACTACCTCAAAAACCAGCGACCCAAGAACTACCCACCAGGGCCTAGGCGCCTGCCCTTTTTTGGCTGCTTGTTCTATTTGGATCCAAAGCAGCCTCACATAACTCTGCAGAAGGTAGGAAGAGGCCAGGGTGTCTGGCTGTGTTCTGGGTCAGGATCCTGGCACCTGGAACGGGAGGATTTGTTTGTAAGCTCAGGCTGGCAGCCAAGTAGCCCAGAGATAATATATTCAGATTACCAAAGAGTTGTAGATTTGTTATCTGTAGACACAGGATTTTCAGTTTGCGTTTATGGCCAGAGAACATATTGTGTATGATTTTAATTCTTTTAAGTATGTCAAGGTGAATCGCATAACATAATAATTTAGCTTCATAAATATGCCATGCTGGTTTAAGGCAAGGGGTGCCACAGATGTTGGTTAGAGCGCTGGTCTGGTTTAAAACAATGTATGGTCTCCTCTTGAGCTGGATGAATATCAGTTCTCTCATTTCTCTTATTGAACCTAATTTAGTCCTTCTACACCATGTGTCGAATGCTCAACTTCTGATTTTATCAACTCCAGAGAAAGATGCTCTGAAATCTCCAGCTCCACTGGGAGTCTGTCTGTCTGTCTTTCCACTCAGTTCTAGAAGTTCTCCCCTTGTACCGGAAAGACTGTTATGTGTATATACTACACATGTAAGACTGGCAGGTCTTACTGATGAATGACCACCTTCCCATGCAATGTTCCTCTTTATCCTCAGTGACTACTCCAGCCATGTTTAATTATCCCATTATCTCCATTACATGTGAAGATTGACCATGTCTGATTATTTATTGCTATTTAAGGTTCCAAGCCCATATTTTTTCTTCTTTTTTCCAACATATTTTCCTCCATTATCAATTCCCTGTGTGTTTCTTGGACACTTTCTGAGTAGTTGCCTTTTCATTCATCTTCTCTCTCTTTACATCTTTTTTTATCATCCTCCAGCATCTGCTCTACATTACTCAGTATGCACATGTAGCCCATGAGACTTTGCTAACACCATACGAAGTGACTACAAACACAGAGGAACCTTCTCCCCTCTATGACACAGTGTCTAAGCTGTTGTCCCCACACACTGAGACTCACATCACTCACTGCTCTCTCTTCAGTGTCCAGTGCAGCTGGAACTCAAAGGCAGAGGAGTCTGTTGCTTTGCCCCTTACTCATCTTCCCATCTCTGCCTTTTTTCTGCCTTTCCGAGGTCACAATTTCCATTCTGTCCTCAAGCACTTTCTTTCTAATTTCTGCAGAGGAGGCTTCACAAATGTGGCAAGGGAGGAGCTGAGCCCTTCTGTTTTATACCTTCCTTGAAGCTAGATGTGATTCAGGACAAAAGGCTGAAATGGGGTCTTCAAAGGCTAACTCTTGATCATGTGGGGGGAAGAAACTTCAGTACTACTCACACACTGTCATTCAACTCCGTTTGCACAAGCATGGACATTCTCTTCCCTTCTCTTTGTTTCCCTCATCTTCACCCAAACTCTCCACCCCTCACACTCAGACCTGCAATCTTATGTATATAGCAGATGATGAAGGAATTATAACAGGGATCGCTTTAAAGCTACACCAAATGTGTACAGAACTTCCTCGGCCTTTTCCCTCCATTCTCTGCCTTGATTAAAATTCAAGATACTTCAGGTTAGAGACTTTGCTTATTTGTTGCTACACATATCCTCATACCTTCCTCTAGGGACACATGGGAGCTGCATACCTAATTCATATTTGCTGAATTCTTTAGGTATTTTATAAAGGGAAATTTCTATTCTTAGTGTTTATTGAAATTAGGCTTAATAATTAAGAAGATAAAAAATTTCCAAACATTTACACAGAGACAAATACTTGCCTCCACAAACAGTTTTTGTTTGTGGCTAAAGCCATCTCAAACTGAGTCCCATCAGCTACACACATGCCTGCCATTTCTGGACACACAGACATGGGCTCACTCAATTATAACTCCTGAAATATTTTTCAGTTTGTGAAGAAATATGGGAACGTTTTAAGCTTGGATTTTGCTAATATACCCTCAGTGGTTGTAAGTGGCATGCCCTTAATCAAGGAAGTCTTTACTCAGTTGGAGCCAAACTTTCTTAACCGTCCTGTCAGTCTTCTCCGAAAACAACTCTTTAATAAAAATGGTAAGTTCCTTGAGTGATGTGTGGTGTGTATGGTAGATAATTCTTGTGACATGGTAAAGGTGCCCATCTGTAACTTGCCAACCCTCCCATAAACCAAACCCATCATGAATTACCATCTTCCAAGGAAGCAGGATGCCGTATTCCTCGGATGGATGCACCCACTTGAGGACTTACCATGTCCCTCTACTAGACAGGGGAGGAACTACATGTTCTGTACACTAACAGTTGATGCTCTGATGGAATGTCCAGCAAGAGATACTGTGCCCTCGCTTCCATTTCCCCACCCCAACCTTCTGCCCTAGGGAAATAGATATGTCAGCTGCTCTTCTTGATATGATAGATATGATAACTCCTTAATACTCCAGGTGTCTTTAGCCTTCTGCCTAATAATACAGCAAGCTAATACTTATTATTATCATTTCAAAAGTAACAATCAGGAGGCTAAGACTTACATTAAAAGGATTTGAGAATTTCTCTGAGACTGAGGTATCCATTTTATAAGCGTGACAGTTGATGGGTGCTGAGTATAGCAGAAGGTTCTTCCTTAGCCTAGCCTCTAGGATCTCTCTGTGTGAGATACTCATCCTTTCTACCTTCTTGAGTCATTTATCAATTCTTTACTGTATGCCTTGGCTAGAACCTCTTCTATAAACCTTTCTTATCCTGTTAAAAGTGCATCTTATCTTACCCATGAGTACATCCCTGTTATTCAGGTTAACATAAATCCATGTGATTTGTGTGATCAAATGCATTGGAACTGGAGAGACTGAAATGTGAACACACAGCTGCTACCTACTAAGTGCATTTCCTTATAAAGTAAGCGTTACCCTGGTGTCTCAGCTTTTGCATCAAATGCAATGGACCTGGAGTGAATAGTTAATAAGCATATGGAATTTCTGAAAATGCCAAATCACACAGAGAACAAGGAATTTTAAATTGTTTGATGTTGTAAGTAATCAGTAAATCTTAGTTCCCTTGCTTTGGGACTGTCTCTCTAGAGAGATGCCAGGTTCCTTATTGGCCTGTCTCCTTTCAATTGTACTTGTGACCATCAAGTTTGTCAGGTGACTTTAGAACACAATCACAACGCTATAACGCAGAATCTCTTTTTCCAGGGTTGGTCTTCTCCAGTGGTCAGACATGGAAGGAACAAAGAAGGTTCACCCTGATGACATTGAGGAACTTTGGATTGGGAAAGAAGAGCCTAGAGCAGCGCATACAGGAGGAAGCCAGACACCTCGTGGAGGCCATAGGAGAGGAGGGAGGTGGGCATCTCACAGGGCAGATGCTGAGGGAGGGTAGTGGCCTTACATTTGTTGAACAGATTATTATTAAGTGTCTGTTTGTCCCAGGCCTGCTCTGGATTACGCACTTGTGATATTTTGCTTATGATCTAATAAAGCTTGCCTAAAGATCAGAGTGCATAGCTAACTAGGGGTAGCCAAACACCTAGTTAAGGAGCTAAGCCACTAGTTAGGCACACACACATTAAGCCACTAGATAGCCATACACCTAAGCCACTAGTTAGCCATAGAAGACACAACTTTAATCTGGTACTTGGGAGACAGAGGCAGATGGATCTCTGTATGTTCAAGGCCACCCTGGACTACATGAGAGTAAATCAGTCTAAAAAAATAAACAGAATAAAGGGGAGAAGACAGAAGCTTGATGCAGTCTCAGGTTTTGTGGAGACAGATGCAGTCTGGAGATGCAATCTGAGAACAGGATTATCCTTTCAGTCTGAGCACTGGTAGAGCTGAAAACGCTGTAGTAGCTAGCTGCTTTGCTTCTCTGATCTTTAGACAAGCTTTATTCATTAGATCATAAACAAAATATCACTACAGGCACTGAAGACTGAACAATGAACTTATACTATAACCCTTCCCTAGAGGGCTGTAATCTAGCAAACAAAATGGGTTGAATTTAAATACTGGTCATCAATCTGATGTATAACAGAAACCTTGGATCATGTCAGCACCATGTGTGTGCTATGGCCAGAACAAAATTATTTTACTCTCTGCATTTTCCAGTCTTTATATAGGAAGAGGGTAAGCTGGAGAATTGTTTTTTATCATTTGGAGTTAATTGTTTATAGACAATAGAAATGTAAAGATCAGTAATCCAGCTCCTTTCTCCACCTCCAGGAGAGCCTTTTGACCCTCACTTCAGTATCAACAATGCAGTTTCCAACATCATTTCCTCTGTCACCTTTGGGGAGCGCTTTGAGTACCATGACAGTCACTTTCAGGAGATGCTGAGGTTACTGGATGAGGCCATGTGTTTGGAGTCATCAATGATGTGTCAGGTAAGCACTCAGCCTTTTCATATCTTAGGGAGGGTATTAAAGTGGGACTGATTCTAACAGACAGGCTCTTCCTTTTTGTATTTTAGGGCTTTTGAAGTTAAAATGTAGTGTCTTTTAGTTGAGTTTAACACAGATGTATTTAAATCTATATGATGATTTCAGTGTTGTTGATAATATGAAAAACTCTTCCATGAACATAGCCACATTTATAATAGTTAAAGGAAGTACCAACATTTGCAGGATGAAAAGGGTGTTATCATGATATCTTCATGCATATAGCACTATAATGTTTCTTAGTTGCTTTCTCTCCCCAATCCAGCTGATTCCCATTCTCTCTATTATTCTCAGCTCTGATTTCATAACAATTCCACTAATTGTACTCATTTACATAGATTTTATTTTCACCTCTTAAGTTCTCTTCCACTCTTCTTTTCCTTGACTCTCAAGATCTCCCTTTTAATATCCTGACCTGCAAATGCAGGTGTCTTGTTGCCTGTATTTCCCATGTTTCTTGTATTTCTATGTTGTAGTGTTTGCAGCTGTTGGTTTGGGTAGCATTTCTGGAATTTTTTAGAGGATCTTCTCATGGAGCGATCCAGACTTCAAAATGTAATCCATAGTACCACTCTGACAGAAAAAAAACAAAGTATTATAGTAGCAATAACTTTGTCTCATGCAAAATATAGAAACACACATGAATTCAGTTGCAGCTCCTTAATATATTACCAATGGCCAAAGAACTGAAACAATGTCAAAACTACTGAATATGCTATGAAGTTTCAAAAATATTTAAGGTAGTCTTAAAATAATAAATGAGTGAGATACCTGAAGGTGATAGGGAAGGAGTGGGCGAAATAAGGTGAAATAATGTAAAGAAGAAAGGAGAAGGAGGGAGGAAAGGAAGGTTATACACAGGGAAAAACTAAAATAGAGAAGGGAGACAAATATAAATTTAACAGTAGTAAAATTAGTTCCAAACTAAATATAAAAAGAGGGACAAAAATTGAATTATAAGCATTATTTTTAAAAAGCCAACAAGATAAATTCAAGTTATAAATATAAAGGAGGGCACTGAGTGCAAATGAATGAACACACTAAAGACAAGAAATTAAATTCTATTGCTAAAAATGAGGAGAGGCATAAACATAATCAGATGAACTCATGAAAGAGAGTAACCAATGAGTGTGGTGAGGAAGAGGGCTTAGTGAATAAAGGGGCTTTCTACAAAGCCTGACAAGGTGAGTTTGAACCTGGGAGTTCACAGGGAGAAAGAACACCCATGTCCCTCAAGTTGTCCTCTGATGTCCACACAGGTTCCATGACACATGAGCATAGGTACACATGCACGCCGACGCGCGTGCACACACACACACACATAAATAAATGTGTGATTATTTTAATATAAAGTTTTTAAGTGAAAACAAAGTAAAAATTAGGCTAAATGTGTAGGAAAATAAGGAGTCACACAGAAAAAGAAAAAAGGGGTTGGATCCCCATTGCAGGTCTTCAAAAATGGAAGACTTCAATTTACATAATGGAGGAGAAGGGCAAGTGATCGCATGGGCTTTTGTTGGCTCTTTGTTTTGTGCTACTGCTGAGTCTTATGTCCACCAGAATTCTCTCCATAGTATAGCTGCCATTTTTCTTATTTACATATCAGGAGCCACATTGAGATTGCATTCCATGGAGTGGGCATAATCTTTCACCCTCCCAAGAGCTCTCAAATCTTACCCCCTGTGTGTCTCTTTTAGTTATGGGGTGTTCATTGGGAGCTGGGGAAACAACCATAGCACTGAGATCAGTATATGCTGGGGAGCTGCCTTTGGACTTTCAGGGCTCCCAGTAACCTGCTGAAGGGATGCCCTGTGGGTATCCAGTGTACCCCTAAACCCTGGAGTGAAAGATAAGTGAAGTGTGCATTCTGCCTACTGACTTCCGACTCAGCTACCATACTCCATGGTTAATGTCAGCCGATGAGCTCTGTTCTTGCCCCCTGAGGATGGGGAATCTCTTTAAGCACTTCCCAACCTGATCTGCCTGCCTTCTTGCTGTCTGCTATACTTCTGCCTATTTGTATTATGTATTCTTGATGTCTACAACTATCTTTCCAGACTTTCTCTTACCAAAAGGATACAGTGACAGACCATCTCAGGATGCTCAGACTCGTGAATGCTTTATATTCTCAGGTCTTTTAGTATTTCAGTTTTTAACAATAGATTCTCTCGCAAATGGGCACTATGAATGTTAGATCAAATTTGTTGTACCAAAATTGGTCTATAAATGTTTTCTTTTTTATTGAACACTTATTTCTTCTTATTAAAAGTATTAAGATAAGAGGGGACTGGAGAGATAGATTGGCAATTAAGAGCATGGGCTGTTTGGCTCCCAGCACCCAAGTTTCCTGGCCTTGTGACTTAAGGGAACCCAATGCCTCTGGCTTCTGCAGACACCTGAACTCATAAGTTCGTCATTTACCCCATGCCCATAATTAAAAATTAAATAAATATTCTTAAAGTATGAGTACCAATTTGTGATTAATTTGTAGTTTATAGTTATCCGGGTTTTCTCGTGTTTTAAGTTAGTATTAAGTGTCCTCATTGAACATCTCAAAGTATTAATTGAGAAGACTTGGTGCTCTTTTCTATTACTTTAGTCTTTACCTTAAAAATCTGATAGCTGTAGGATCTAGATAGATGGCCCAGAAGTTACAATTATCAGTTACTTTTGCACAGGACTAGTTTCCAACATCTAAACGGTGGCTCATAACCATCCTTAACTCTAGTTTCAGGATATCCAACAATCTGTTCTGGCTTCTGGAGGCACCAGACATGCAAATGATGAATATGCATGCATTCAGTCAAAACATACATAAAATAAATAAACCCAAATAAAATTGATATTTATAATAGCCAACATCAAGGATAAAATTTTTATCAAATTAATCTTATCTTTTTCCAGCCTGATTACAGTTTCTCTCCCTTCCTCCTCTTCTACCAGTCCCTCCCCACAACCTCTACTCTCCCTCCTTTCCCCCATCTACTCCTCATCCTTTCTTTTCAGAAAAGGTCAGGCCTCCCATGTATATCAGCCAGCCACAGTATATCAAGTTGCAGTGAGACTAGGCACTTCCTCTCATATTAAGGCTGGATGACGCCACCCAGTAAGAGGAAAGGGTCCCAAAAGCAGGTAACAGAGTCAGAGACAGCCCCTGCTCCCAGAGTTAGGAATCCCTCAAAAACACCAAGCTACACAATTGTAACATGTGCAGAGGGCCTAGGTCAGTCAAGCTCTCTGGTTGGTGTTTTAGTTTCTGTGAGCTCCTATGAGCCCATGTTAGTTGATTTGATGGGATTTCTTGTGGGGAAGGACAAATATTTTTAGCCTCCCTAAAGTAATGAGAGATCGTGAGCACATGAGTTGTGGCTTATTCTCTACCTTACTATCCTCATGTATTTTAGTGTGTTCTTGTTTTAATAAGATCATGCATAATTAATTGGTTTATATGTTCTCTTTTGATCATCCCTCTTGTAATTAGAGCCATTTCCTTGATTCGGTTTAGGGTTTTAAAGTCTTCCCAACACTGAAATGCCTGTGAAGGGTGGGGGTACAGAGTAAGAGTGAAACAGGAGCCAAGATGGCTTCACCATCCCACTATAAGATATAAAGAGAAAGACAAAACTGTTTTTGAAATGTGACACCATGGTATCTCCATGACTTGTCTTATTTTTCCCAACCAGCTCTACAATATCTTTCCAAGGATAATTCATTATCTTCCTGGATCACACCAAACATTTTTCAGAAACTGGAGAAAACTGAAATTATTTGTTTCTAATATTATTGACAATCACAGGAAAGACTGGGACCCTAATGAGCCAAGAGACTTCATTGATGTTTTCCTCAAGGAAATGACAAAGGTAGGGAGCATGCCTGCTGTGTTGTCTTCTTACAGAAGAGGTAGCGGTTTAGTAGTCTCCAATTGACCACGCAGTGTGTCATTGGTTTGGCACAGTACAGATGTTTCCCCCATAGTGTTCTGTGCTCCCTGTGTGCCTGTTGGCCAGGCAAGCTTCATATGGAAATAGTGAGAAATTGTTAGTTTACCTCTTGCAGATCCTTCTGGACACAGGTACTTCTTGCCATGTCTCTTTCCTTCATCTTCAATGGCAAGATTGTAACATCTACTTCTCTGTGATCACTGCTTCCATGCTTTGGCTCTTAACCTTGAACCCTCTCTTATAAGAACAACTCTGTAAAATCTTCCTTTTGAAAATTAGTACATAAACAAGGTTTATTTTGGAGTATCAAGAAATATGCAGAGATGAATAGATGGGCATTTCTGTGGGTCTAACTAGTACTTATTACACTACAGGAAAATTAAATGAAAAGGGTATAGTATTTATGAAGTATAGGATAGCATTCATTCAAGATTGTGAGGGTCATTTGGCAGGAGGCCATGACTATCCTTCTGTCTCTTAGCTTTTACCCATATGTGAAAGAGCTGTGTCATAAATGAAAGTAGCAATTAAACTCCAGAGTTCAATTTTGTTACAAGCTGGTCTAGGGCCAGGTATAAGCAATGCAGCTGAATGTGAGTTTAACATTTGGATGAGGCCTTCTAACTCCACATAAAAAAACATCCACTAATACAAGAGATACAAGAGATGCTAGACAGCAGCCACTTGGATGTGTTTGTCACTTTTGTATCATTGTGATAATACCTGGCAAAAACAACACAAGAGAGATTTATTTTTGCCCGCCCTTTTAGAGAGTTAGATCTATCATCACAGAGCAGGAATGGCATAGCAGCAAAGGTCATGGTGGCAAAAGGCGATGGTGAAGTCTATTCACATAATGATGCATTGGGATTCAGAAACCAAGGCAAGATCCAGGGCCCCAATATTACCTTAATAGTGCTGCACCTATTAGTCACTTCCTCTGGCTAGGACCTTCCCCTATAGAACCTAAGTTATAGAACCTCCAAAAATACCTCAGACAACTTAGGAAGCAAGAATTATTTCATTCCAGATTCAAACCATATCACAAAATATGCAACCTTGATCTCCCTAGATCTTTTATTGGTCCACATCACTGGATCAGTGCCATCGATTGGATGCATTGGAGTATGGGTTCCTCTTCTGAACAGGCGGGATAGTAATTTTTCATCTTCTCTCTTATTTTGTTTTCCTTAAATAATATTGATAAAGGCAATGATTTATTTTTATTCAGAGGAAGAGCTGAATAGTTACTTCTCATATACAGGTATTAGGTCATCAATATTAAAATCAATCTTAGTAAATTTATTGTTTTGGAGGAAGCTGGTAAAAATCATGTGTCATAAAAAAATAACTGATGGAATCAGGAAGTCTAGACTAGGAGAGATGAATGGTGAGCTTAAAGAATCAGAGGTCATTGAGAGTCACTTGATTCTTTCTGGGGGCAAGAGAAGCTTTAGTTGAGTACTGACTGTGAGCCTGTGGTTTCATATGATCAATAGTGACATGTACATGTTCTATTCATTTTATAAAACTGAAGACAAGAAATGTTAAGTGAGTATCCTACACCAAGTAGTGACTTAGTGGTGTGGCTGATACTAAAAGCCAAAGATGGTTTTTAATCTCATTTTCTTATCACTCGATGAAAGGTTTCCAAAAAAATATAATCAGGAGAAAGTAGTTGAGATTTTCATTCACCCAAGTGCCATGAGGTTTTGGTCAGCTTCCTGATGAGGTCAAAGGGATTATTACTTTATATGAATATTTCCAAATTCATACCCTAATGTCTTGACTCAGAACCTCAGAATAAACAAGCACATACTGTCTTTTTTCCAGTACCCAGACAAGACTACTACAAGTTTCAATGATGAAAACCTCATCTGCAGCACTCTGGACCTCTTCTTTGCAGGAACAGAGACAACATCTACAACACTGCGCTGGGCTGTGCTCTGTATGGCTCTCTACCCAGAAGTCCAAGGTGAGCATGTGGCGAATGTACTTGGACAAGGTAGAATGGTGCTTCTGGAATCTGCGGCTCAGATGGAACCAGAGATGGCATGGCAGGATAGCAAAAGATAGAATGGTTGTAAGGTGATGCGGACTTGGGATGGGGCACATCCCCTACATGCTCTGTCATGATTATGATGCATACAGGAGTACCAATATTATAGCTTCTGTAAACTCAAGAGGCATAAAGTCTATAACCAAACAGAGAAGTCAAGGGACATTGTGGTCAATTCCAGCTGAGCGGCATTACCCTAAGAGCATCCACAGATGTCCTCCTTCTTTTATAACAATTCTTTCCTACTTACCCTGGATACTGAGCAAATGGCTTAGTCTTGTTTCTGAAGTCATGTGATATACACTTCTCTGCCCATGCTCAACCTCACCTACTCTGCACGGTAGCTTCCTTGTGTAACATGTCCTCTCTTGTCACTGTTTTTATTCTTGTCTCTAAATCATGACATTGAGTCTTTCCTCAACCAAAAATGCACTTTTCCAAATTCTTCCACATCTAGAAGAATCTTCTAAGGTACCATATCCCTAAGGTGTTTCAGATTCCTCTAGGAACTTACTGCTAGGGAATTGCTGTCATTTTCTTCCTGAAGAGATGAACAATGCTCCTCCATCCATGACTCCCCATATGCCTGTTTTCCATAACAAAGATTTGTCTGTCTCATAATTTCTCTTCCTTCACATTCTAGAAGAGTTTAGAAGGTAGTGATTGAAACCACTTTTTCATATCCTGAAACTCTTTTTTTTTTTTTCAAAATATGGCTAACAGTTTATTCATAGGTTATAAAGTCAATTTAGTACATCCCACCCCCAGGATAAAAACTGAAAAGAGAAAGTTAGAGTTCAACCAATGTTGTGAAGTCAGATTTGTCCATAACCTTTATTTCATCTTTTCATGAGTGACCCTGTGTAAATGAATGTGTTTATGTGCACATGCATGCTTAAGATACAGAATAACTTCAGACCTCTTCCCTGAAGCATAGGTCCCATTTTTGAGATAAGTTCTTTCATTGGCCTAGAATTTAACAAGTAACCACTGAGCTCTAGGGGTCCCCTTCTCTCTACATCTCCATCACACTGCAACTACAGCTGTTGCCATCACACCTGACTTTTTTTTTTAACGTGGATTCTAGGGACCAAACTTAGGTCCTTATGCTTTCAAGCAAGATTTATTTATTAACTACCTCCCCTGCCTCAAAAGTTACCATGGTAATAGTGATACATTTTATAATATATACATTTTATGTGAAATTAATTTTTATATACAGAATAGTAGTAAAGGGCTTCATTGTAAATGAAATGTGTAGCTAGCCAATCAGATAAAATTAATTCAACCTCTATTACTCTTGAAAAAAGAGGAGCCATGTTGGCAGACAGCTTGCAGAATCAGTCAGTAATTATAACAGTTCATATGAATGTGAAAACATCCTTAGGATATGGAAAACTTATTCTCACTAATCACATGGGAAAACTGAAGCTCAAAATTGGAAGCATCTTCACCAGTAATGTTGTCCAGCAACACTGCTGTCTATGGCCCACGCTGATATACCTCCTTAAGAAAGTAGGGATTACAGATGTTCTGCGGTCTGAACCTTTATGTCCCAACTGCCAAGCCCATGTTCAGCTCTATCAATGTGACTGCAGGAGGCGATTGGCTCTTATGAAGAGAATTAGTGCCTACTAAAAAGATTCATTATTCCTTATGGTATGAGGACACAGCAAAGGTTTGGCACAGAGATGGATAATCGTTGTCTACAGGGCAAGAAAACTGCTCAAGCCTTTATTTCAGAAGTTCTGGGCCCTAGAACTATGAGGGAAACATTGGTGTGATGTGTAGCCTACTCTGCGAATGGTGCTTATGTGTAGAAGCCTGTCTAGATACTGCTGTGGTAATCTGAGATAATTAGCTCAGGATACACGGAAATGTATGTTTGCATTGTAAGCTCAAAGAAAGCTATTGAATTGACAATTTTCGAAACAGATATTTGAAGGCTTGGGAAAACTTTTATTTCTTTATAACCAGGATGCTAAGGTGAAATAAAGGCAGGTGACACCTCATAGTACAGCTTCTATGTCTTTAGAAGAAAGCATTAAAGTTTTAAAATTAATAGAATCTCACGTTTTCTTTCAGAAAAAGTACAGGCTGAGATCGACGAAGTGATTGGTCAAGGAAGACAGCCAAGCCTGGCTGACAGAGAGTCCATGCCCTACACCAATGCTGTGATCCACGAGGTGCAGAGAATAGGAAACATCATCCCCTTTAATGTTCCCAGGGAAACAATAGCTGACACCAAGTTGGCTGGATTTTACATGCCAAAGGTAACTCTCCCCACCTCAGATCCTCCAGTCCATCTTTGGCATCATTTTGGGATCCTAAACTTAGAAAGTGGCATGTATTCCCAACCCAAGAAACCATTTCAATGGGAAGAAAAGTATATTTCTGCCAAATCCCTCTATGTGTATCGGTATTGTTTGCTATGGGACACCTCAGCAAGTTGCTGCCTAATGTTGGCAGAGGACAGTTGCTGAAGAAGATGAGAGCAATCATATGTTCACCATTCTCTTTCTCGATGAACAGTTCGTGAATTGAAGCTGAGGTCTGAATTTTTCCAATGCTGCTTGCATTTTTTCTGTTCATTCACTCATCCCCAGGCAACCATACCAACTCTTTTCACAGACTATACCATCAGTTCCTTGGATATTGAGCAATCTAAATGACTGTGTTGAACAGATGTGGGGAACTGTGGTCTTGATAGCAATTAGGCTTATTTCCACTGCTGACTTCACTTACTCCTGCATTACCTAACCAATCATAACTTCAACTTTTACAAAATGCATTCAACCAAATGCATATGTAAGTATAATGAAATTACATATGCAAAACCTTATACTCAGAATAGAAGTTGTTCTTTACTAATTGAGGGAATGTTCATTAAACACCCAAAGTTTGGGCCTGGAGTTGGAATACCTGAGTCATGGGCGTCTCTGCTTATAAACCCTGAAGACTGTTGGAAGGAAAATACTCAAGTTCTCTGTGATGATGAGAAGTAGCAGCTGAAGGAATCAGTTAGTGCTTCAGGAGGAAGAGGTAATGGAGTTAAGGACTGAAGGAGAGACAAGAGTTAGCTTTGTGTCAAAATGCAAAGGGATACTCCTCCATCTAAAGCAATCAGCATTGCAACATGGCCTGATTGAGATCATAAAGGAAGACTACTATGGTGGGATGCCTGTCAGAGAGGAGCAATGAACAATGCTTCTGGTGGTACACAGGACAAATCTTTGATTTAAAAATATGAGAAACCTGCTTTCCAAGTTTGAATGAGTGGGTGGGCAATGTAGCTAAGTCATATGCAAAGCCCACTCAGCTTTCAAACTATGGAACAGAGTCATAGCTATTAGGTGCTTGCAAGGGTCTAGAAGGAAAAGATGGCAGCCTGAACTAAGGCTGCAGTGGGAACAGGAATGGACTGATTCAAGAGATATTTGAAGAATGAACCAGCTTTGCTAATGATTGAGCAAAAAGAGGGAAAGATCCATTCTGGTGACTCTATGTGTTGTGCCATGTATCTGCCTGACAGGAATGCTTCCTGATACATCCCTGGGTCTTTGACTATGTGTGACAGGCTGTCATCTCTTAGATAATATATGGAAAATAATGCATAAATAAAGGAGGTTTCCTATCATACATGTGCCATGGTCCTAACTGCAATGAACAGAAGGCTCATTATCTCCCCATGGACACTTTCATGTCCTCTTCTCAGATTTGTAATAACCACTTTTAGTAAAGTAGATAGATTTATTAATAAAGCATGGTCCAGATAACTTTATGGGTGACAGTGAAACAACTAGGAAGAATAGGAAAGTTCAGGATGTCAAGTTTCTCAGGCCAGTCAAGGGAGCTTGAGATTCATCACCTGTCTGTGGGAGTTTTCATTAAGTCTTTACTTCCTGCTGCTTCTTCTAGGGAGTCATGGTCCTAACCAACCTGACTGCACTGCACAGAGACCCCAAAGAGTGGGCCACTCCAGACATCTTCAACCCAGAGCACTTTTTGGAGAATGGACAGTTTAAGAAGAGGGAATCATTTCTGCCATTCTCAATGGGTGAGTTGTGATGAGCAGGAGAGAGTTCAGAGCTCCACCCTAGTCCTTCCCTTCTCCCCACCTTTCTTTCTTTTCTTTTCATTAATCTTTCCATATAATATAACATGATATTTAAGTGTTCATTTTGTCCTATTCCGGGTTGTTTTTATTTTATCTTTACTACTTCTACTACTACTACTACTACTAGTTTTAGATACAAATTTCTATTCCGATGAGAGAAAGAAAGGAGGGGTGTAGATTTGGAGAGGTAATGAAAAGCTAAGAAGAGCTGGGGAGGGGAAACAATAATCAGAATATAATATATGAAAAAAAGTCTGTTTCCAATAAAAAAAAATCATGGAAGCAGGAAGAAATAGAAAAAAGGAAAAAAAAACAAAAATATTAACAATGAGTATAAGAGAATTGATGACAGTGACTATAGGGTGCACTGCAGGACAGTTGGTTAGTAGCAGACTCTTCTTCAGAAAAGGGAGGCAAGAGGAATTTGAGTAGCACCAGATAGTCAGAGAGCTAAGGAGGCCATCTGTTACTGAAGTTGCTCAAAGTGAAGGGGGACATGGGCTTAGGTGGAAGCTGACTTGTACTTTAACTCAAGTACCTGCTCACATTTTTCTCTTTCCTCTTAAAAGGTTGAAAAGCATCTCAAGATTGTTGTCATTGTTGTTGTTGTTGTTGCACCATTATCTTCCCTATCGGTGATGTTTGTTAAGTGAGTTTGGAAAGCACTTACGCTAGTCACACAGTCCACGTCTGCTTAGATTCCTATTCCTGTTATCTTATGCCCTGTTCTCCAAGCACTGCTTGATCCCTGGGAGCATTTGATTTGTGATCCTGGACTTTCACCTTCTGTGTTTTTGGAAGACAAGGCAGATGCTAGAAATAAATAAGCAACTGGATTTCACTCCTCGAGTCTACTCAAACTTTGCAAAAGGGTGGTTAGTGACATCAGTCCCTGGGCATACCAGTGGTAGCTGAATAAATCACTTTGTTTTTGTCTTACAGGAAAGCGAGCTTGTCTTGGAGAGCAATTGGCCAGGTCTGAGCTCTTTATTTTCTTCACTGCTCTTGTGCAAAAATTTACCTTCAAGCCCCCAGCCAATGAGAAGCTAAGCCTGGAATTCAGAATGTCTGTTACTGTTTCACCTGTCAGTCACCACATCTGTGTGATTCCTAGGCTGTGATGTTGAAGAAGGAAAGTGTGAAGAAATAACATCTGCTTGGAAGACACTGGTCCTTGCTCACAGCTGAGGGGATATAATGAAGGTGACTGGGGAAATGGGTATAATGACACTAAAGAGATTGAATCCAATTATGGGTTCATAAGTGGAAAGCCTTTTGCTACGTCAATGACAGAGCTTTCCACCTAAGATTTTCAGAGAAAGATGATTCCTCCAGTAAAGAAAATGCTTTCAAGGATCATGAGAAATAATGGATTAAATTAATATGGAGATTGTAAAAACAGTCATAAAAGCTATGCCCTTACTTTGCCCATTCCTTTTCTCCCACTGTCCATGAAGCTTCTCCCACTGGCTAGGTCTGCAGCTGCCATCCAAAAATTATATAAAAAAGATGTGTGAGGGAAACTTCCAACAATCATTCCTCTTTCGTTTTGGAAGTCTCATCCTCTCCTCTCTTCATTCCTGCTAGAGATCTAGTATACAAGCAATTTGAGAGGAAATAAAGAAATAAGGGACATAAGGAAACAAGCCATTAAGAGCTGTGTTATAGATGTGTCTTCTGGGGATGAGTGCCCCACAGGCAGCTGTTCCCTGCATGGTGACCAGCTGTGGGTCTCTGTAATGTTCTCCCTATGCTTCAAAAACAAGTTTCCTTGATGAGGAGTGAGAGCTGCACTTACCTGTGGGTCTAAGGATGGGTGATTATAATGTAGTTTGAAAATACATTGATTTAGGACAGTGGAGTAACAGGTTTTCCTCTATCCATGCCCTCACCAGCTATGGATACTTAGTAAATCTAACAGTGCCACTGCAAACACCAGTTTGGGGATTCCAGGTAAAATGTGTTTATGGATATTGAGAATTGACACTGAGGAATGGCTAAGGGACTCCACAAGAGGGAGACAAGAAGATTGTTGTTCTGCTTAGAGCCCTGGGAATGGAGGAAGAGGGTGAGGAGAAGGAAGCTACAGTGTGTCTGCTATAGACCTGGAGATGAGACAAGAGTGGGGGTATGGGGTGGTTGGATTTGGAGGAGCAGTGGCCTCTGGGTTCTCAGGGAATGCCTGGGATAAAGCAATGAGTGGTAGGAAGACAGTAAGATGAGGAAGATGGGTGTGAGTCAGTGGAGATGGAGAGGGCATGGCCACAGCTAGTGGTCTGCATCTACTGCAGAGCTAAGAATGAGACTAGGGGGTTGTTGGATTTAGAGGAGGCAAGGGAGAAGTGGTCTTCTCTTAGCTTACCTGCTCACTTAGTCCAAATGGCCTTGACATTATGTGGTTTAACAGCTATCCCTGGGAGGCCTGCTCTTTTCTTTAGGAAAATAAAGGATTGGATCTAGGGGAGGGGTGAGGGAGGTATTGGAGGAGTGGAGGGAGGGAAAACTGCAGTCAGCTGTAATGTATAAAATAAAACTAATTAGATAAATAAATAAACAGCTGAAACTTAAACTATGTAGTGGTCTTGCCAGTGAATCTGTAACGGTGGCCACACCCCCTTTGGGCATGGCTTCGGATGGATGGAAGTGTAAAGAAGCAAGCTTGAGGCATGGCTTCTTTTTGGGAGATCTTTTCAGGTTGGCTGACACATTAGGAAGGTCAGAGAAGCACTCACCGAGTTCTTTATATTTTTTCTGCGTAAGTGTTCCCCAATAAACCCATTTATCATTTATCTTGGGTCTAATGAAATCTATACACCCCTGCTTTTAAAACTATTTCCACTAGAGGCTATTATTGTTATCTCATTATATAAAATGTCTACTAAAACCAGCTAACAGGATGTTTATGCATGGAAAGGATACAAAGAACCATCTGTCTAAAGTCTTTTGATCATAACTGCAGCATCATAATTCAACAGGATTCCCTTGGCTAAATTCTTTTAAGCAATGTAAATATGAATTCAATAATGAGTTTAATAAAGAGAAACTGCATATTACATATATTATAAAGGTTGTCTCATATTTTCTATAAGGTTTACCTGAAAACAGGTGATATTACTCATTGGATCACTCATGTATGCCATTTGAATTCAACCCTCTTTTATTAAGGTAATGTTGCCCAATATCTTTTAAACAGAATAGCAACTGTCTTCATAACTCCAACTATGCCTGCTTAAAATAGTTACAGTTAACTTGTTACATGTTAATATTCCTTCAAATAAGGAGGAGATAGACAAGATCACTGGTGGACCTTTGCCCAAATAGCCATCCACTCCCCACAGCTAGTTGTATGTGGTTAGGCCCTAGTTAAGTGTATGGGCTAAAATCTAAAAATGGAAAACAGGTTTATCTATGCAGCAACAACAACAACAATGTTACATATACTGAGTAAAGGCCTTAAATATTGCCTAACAGCCCATTTAGAAATCTTTGTTACAACAAATGATGAGTTTGTTACTATTATGTCTCACGGTATTTCAGTTTATAATCAAGGGAAGTGTATGTGTAAAAGTTAAAGTAACCCATAAATGATGTGGGTGTTAGTTAAGAGGACTGTGCAGCCTATGGGGCCTCTGGTAGTGGATCAGTGTTTATCTCTAGTATACGAATAGACTTTGGGAGCCCATTCCACATAGTGGGATACTCTTTCAGCCTAGACACATGGGGGAGGGCCTAGGCCCTGCTCCAAATGATATGACAGATTTTGAAGACTCCCAATGGAAGGCCTCACCCTGGGGAGCAGAAAGAAGATGGGATGGGGTCAGGGGGCAGGGGAAGATGGGAGGGTGAGTGAACTGGGATTGACATGTAAAACACGCTTATTTCAAATTTAAATAAAAATGTATTCAAGATAAATGACCCATAACTGTAATTATGGTTGTCTAACTCTCTGGAAGCTCCCTTCCACTGTCTTGGTTATTGTTAACTTAAAATCTACAAAGAAAGTTGATTGTCAAAAATTCATATACAGGTAATCTTGATTTGTTACACTGTGCCATGTTTATTGCATGCTAGCCTCATTACAGAATAAGGATTCATGTGGAGGTAAAAGCTTCCAAACAGAAGATCTGCTGTTCCTGTCTTTGGCTGTGTTGGCCTGACCAGCTCTGGCATTATAGACTAAACCAGAAAAACAACAAAAAACAAAACAAAAACCCTCCTTATCTATAGGAAAGATGAATAACATGATTTACTCCTCATGTTGCACATGATATGGAGCTGGATTCTCTTTCCCAGTGGAGGATTTTAGAGCTTACACCCACACCCTATATATCTGAACAACAGAGAGCCAAATAGCAATTACTCTGCCCTCAATGTCTCCCAAACTGACATATGAAGATGCTATGAACAGGGGTATCTTGGGCCTGAGCTACCATCAGACAGATAAGGGGCTTGCATGCTAGTTGAGTTGGTCAGTCCCTTTCCCTTGGCTTTGAGTTCTTCCTTTTAACAAAAGTGAACTCCACAGTCCATACCCTAGCCACCCATGCTCCTGGATTTAAAGCAGGCTTCCAGAGACTCCGTCATCAAATTCAGAGTTTGGGGAATTTATTAAGATCATCCAAGCAGTAGTTTTAAAAACTTTAGTAGGCAACCCTATAAAAATGACTTGGTGGTATTCTATTTCTCTTTTCAACTGCCAATCAGATGCTGAATTGAACTAACTTCAGGCATTGGTTCCTTATGCAGGATTTTGATGCAACAAACTGTTGATTATAGTTGCCATGTCCTTCTTCAGGTACATGGCCTCTCTAGCAAGCTGTACAATTGTATTTAACTTTACTACACAAATTTTCCCTCTTAATATTCCTGACAGGGTTGTACAGTTGGTACCTCCTATTATTATGGATCACTTTGAGTTGAATTGTAGCCCTCCAGATGGACCCTCTTCTAAGGCACCTAACTGCTGCCCTTTCTACATTGTCTCTTTTGTCAGTACCAAGAGAAATCTGTACCCTGAATTCCTCTGTAAGCAATAGCAGATAACTTTATGGTTGGACAAGTTGGACTTCAATGGAATCAATTATGCTCACAGATGTACTTTGGTCTATTGGTTCCCTATCTAGGGTGAACAGATTTTTGTCCATTTCTTGTTAAGAAAGGTGATTACAACATCTATGATAAATGGTGGTTCAGTAAGCATGGATAGGCAGGCATTTAAGTTGCGTTTTACTTTGATTCCTTTGTGTGAACACTCAGGAATGGTATATATCTGTATTATATAAAGGTTCTATTTTCGTTTGAGTAACTTCTGTACTGATTGATATCCAAAGCTGATGAGATAACTTACATTAGTGCCCCCCAAAGTGCCTAAAAGTTCTATAAAAGTGATGATAGCAGAAATAAAATTTTGTGAAGAGACACATGCAACCACCCCTATCCCCACTACTTACCTTCTCTTGGCTGTCAAAGTATCACAACAATGGTCCATAACGGAATTGGAATTTCCCATGGAAACTCACTCTGAAAGGAAAAATCTAAATACTCATGCTAGTCCAAACAGGAACTTTAAAAAAGTTAAATGTACACATTTATTTTACATCCTGAACAAATTTTGCCTTCCCTTCTTTCCTCCCATTCCCTCCCCCACCTCCCTTCCACACCCTGTATCTGCTCCTCTGTTTTTGTTCAGAAAGCAGCAGGCATCCCATGGGTATCAACAAAGCATGGTATATCAAGTTATGGTAGGACTAAGCTCCTTCCCTTGTATTAAGACTGGGCAAGGCAATCCAGTATATGTCAAACTGTTAGGGGTAGGCCTGGCTTGCCCTGCTAGGAGTCCCACAAATAGGCCAAGCTACACAACTATCACACAAGTGTAGAGGGCCTAGGTGGGTCCCATGCAATCTCCCTAGCTGTCAGTCAGACTGTGTCAGCTCCTATGAGCCCAGGTTAGTTGTTTCTGTGGATTCCCTGTGATGACCTTGATTCCCCCTGGATCATACAATCCTTCCTACCTCTATTCAACAGGATTCCCAAGCTTGGTCCAGTCCTTGGCTGTGAGTCTCTGTATCTGTTTCCATTCATTACTTGATGAAAGCTCTCTGATGACAAATCGGTAGTCATCAATCTGATTATAGGAGATGGGCAGAGCAGGCTCCCTATCCACTATCGGTAGGAGTCTTAGCTAGACTCACTCATGGAGATTCATGGGAGCTTCCCTTGCACCAGGTTTTTACCTGACCCAAAAAAAAAATGACCTCCCATATCAAGACATCTCTTTCAGTACTCTGCCCCTTGGCCTACCCCCAACCCTATCTTCATGTTATCCCACCACCCCCAGTCTAACCAGGAGATCTCTTCTAATTCTGCTTCCCATGGAGAGCAATGCCTTGGGCTTTCCTTGTTACATAGCCTCTCTAAGTCTGTGGGTCTGTCGATTGTAGCATGGTTATTCTTTACAGCTAACATCCACATATGAGTGAATACATACCATGCTTGTCTTTCTGTGTCTGGGTTAAAATGGGAGATGTCATTCTGTATATATGTTTCTCATACTGGTTAATGAATAAAGCTCTGTTGGCCAATAGGAAAGGAAGATAGGAGGGACTAGGGGGCAAGGAGGAAATAGGAAGGAGGAAACAGGAGTCAGCTTGGAGAGCCTGGAGAGAACAGAACCGCCATTCCTCCGCTCTCAGTAAGACCATGTGGAAGTACATAGAAATGGGTTAATAATTAAGATAGAGTTAGCCGATAAGAAACTAGTAACTGGCCAACAGGATTATATCAAATACAGAGTCTCTGCGCATTATTTGGAGCTGGCGTGGCAGTGGGACAACACAAGACTGGCGGAGGGCAGAAATACTGTACGCCTCACAAATGGCACCCATGTGGCTATTAAGGCTGTGGATTCCTTCCAGACTTATGTGGTTTGATCAAGCCAGACCCCCTGAAACAGAGTTTCTGGTGATCCAACATTCAAAACAGCTTGAACAAGGCAGCCTTGCAGACTACAACCAGTATTTCTGCGTCTTCTTAGGATTCCCCCATGACAGCGCCCTTTACCAGCAGAAAGTAGTTTATAAAAAACGACGCCCAAATTCCCAAATATTGTTTATAAATGTTTGTTTTCATTTAAATGGACTTGGTTATAAATGGTTAGTGATCACAACCATTATCCTTTTAAAGGTAAAAATGGAATTATGGTATGGATATGAATACTTTGTTTTGGAATGGATTTTCATTTATTGATACAATTTAAGGTCAATGTTGTGATATGTATATTTCTCTTCTTGTTTATGTATTGTGTTTATATAGCTCATTTAGAAATGTAATGTATAATTCAATACAGATTATAGATAGTACCTATGATAGTCAGATATTATAGTTAAGTTATTTAAGATTTCTAGATATACAGACATGTATTTGAGATGGATAGGCATTCTTCAAACCTTTCA